GAAATTTTACCATGGTCCCTAACACCCTCCTGGAGTCCAATTGGATGGGTGGAACCATCCAATTTGCCTTGAAACGACCAATTTATCGGTTTACAACTTGCACTGATTTCATTTACTCAAGCCTACCACGAATATTTATGACAACATATAATGATAATTTATGGTTCCAAACGACATTATATGACCCCAAGATGTGTACCCTAAAATATCATTTCTTTTCGACACCTTGCCCTGAAATCTCCAAAATTTCTCAAAAAGCGTGGATATTAGCCTTTAATTTTGGAATTTTTCGACTTTTTTTCGCCCGGAAAAAAAATTGCTGAAATTTTCACCGTGGTCCATAATACCATCCAGGAGTCCAATTGGATGGGTGGAACCATCCAATTTGCCTTTAAATGGCCAATTTACCGGTTTACAACTTGCATCGATTCCATTTACTCAAGCCTACCACGAACATTTATGAGAACATATAATGATCATTTATGGTTCCAAACGGTATTATATGACCTCGAGGTGTATCCCCTAAAATATCATTTCTTTTCGATACCGAGTCCCGAAATCTACGAAATTTTTCAAAAGGCGTGGATATTAGTCTGCAATTTTGGAATTTTTTGACTTTTTTCGCCCTCGGAAATAATAATTGCTGAAATGTTTACCATGGTTCCTAATACCCTCCGGAAGTCCAATTGGGTGGGTGTAACCATCTATCTTGCCTTTAAACGACCTATTTACCAGTTTAATACTTGCACCTATTTCATTAAGTCAAGCCTACCACAAACATTTATGACAACATATAATGATCATATATGGTTTCAAACGACATTATATGACCCCGAAATGTATCCCCTAAAATCTCATTTCTTTTTGACTCTGGGTCCCGAAACCTACAAAATTTCTCAAAAAGCGTGGATATTTGCCTTCAATTTTGGAATTTTTTGACTTTTTTTGCCCGAAAATAAAAATCGGTGAAATGTGTACCTGGTCCCTAATACCTTCTGGGAGTCCAATTGGTTGGGTGGAACCATCCAATTTGACTTTAAACGACCAATTTACTGCTTTACAATTTGTACCGTTATCAATAACTCAAGCCTACTACGAACATTTATGACAACATATAATGATCATATATGGTTCCAAACGAAATTATATGACCGCGAGATATATCCCATAAAATCTCAAGTCTTTCCGACATCGGGAACCGAAACCTACAAAATTTCTCAAAAAGCGTGGATAACCCGACCTGATTGTAGTCTGCAAATTATTGACTTGAACATAATCCGACTTGAATCCGTGAATGAACAAACTTGGAAATGACCCAACTTGATTATAACCCGCAAATTATTGACTTGAACCGAACCTGACTTGAACCCGAGAATGACCCGATTTGAAAATGACCCGACCTGATTAAAATCCGCAAATTATTTACTTGAACCAAACCCGACTAAAACCTGAGAATGACCCGACCTGATTCTAACCCGCAAATTATTGACTTGGACCGAACCCGACTCAAACCCGAGAATAACCCAACCTGATTCTAACCCGCAAATTATTGACTTGAACCGAACCCGACTCGAACCCGAGAATTACCTAACCCATTTTAACCCGTGAAAACCCGAATTAAACTCGACTTATTGTTCACCCGACCCAAATGTAACCCGACATGTTATTAACCCGACCCGACCCGACCTACTTTTATCCGACCCAAACCGACCTGTTTATCCGAATTGAAAGCTCTAAGACTAATCAATCAATAATGTGGAATAACATGATCAGTTGATTATTACTTGAATACTTCAGATTTAATCATCACTTTAATGGTCATATATGATGTGTCTATATTAGATCATATAGTATCATGTTATTTATGTATTCATGTTATCCTTAGCTTGTTGCCTGAATTGTGAATGGTTTTGGGCCAAAAACATGTCTGTTGAGTAATTAGGTTTTGATGATTGTAAACTAATGATGATTATCTATCTAACGTGTTTGTTTAGTTGTGCATAGAAAGAACAAGTTATGCTTGGAACAGGGTACAAGGAACCTGAGTAATGACAGGTATATATGTAAGGAACTTGAGTAATATATGATAAGCAATAGAGGAACAAGAACAATGATAAGTGTTATGGTTGATAAGCATGATGATGGCTAAGGAACCATGAAGGTAACTATGTAAATATGTGTTTGCATACGTTAGCTTCATAAGGTTAGTATCCTATGCAAATGTAGGTCATGTATGTGTAGGAGTCTTTTAATTTAGCTTAGTTTTCTTTATTGTTTTTATAAATGAAAAAACTAACCTTCTGAGTTACTTTGTTATCCTCAGAAGTTTGCTCGGTTTGTCATCATCAAAAAGGGGGCAACTTGTTGACCCTTATGAGGTTTTGATGATGGTAGTTATGATTGAGCAAACTTCCATCTAATAAGGATTTTCTAGTGTTGTGATGTTTGCAGGTTTAGTAAACTCTAGGAGTTGAAGAAGGAACTGAAACAAGGAACTTTAGAAGATCCATGAGGATACAAGTAAAGTTAGAAGAAGAGTTCCAGAAATGGAACTTCAAGGTGTTCCCTGACAGGAACATACCACGGGTTGTAATGACCTGGTTCCGGTGTAATGCTGGGGCAAAAGCGTTTCCTGACAGGAACATATCAACGGGTTGTAACGACCTGGTTCCGGTGTAATGCTGGGGCAAACCCTAAGATCCAGAATATATCAAGACTACAGGATTCCAGAACAAGAGTTTCAGAGAAGCAACATGAAGATAGAGAAATAGAAGTATATTGCTCTAGGATTCATGTAAGTATGTTGGACATAAAAGTCGGTCTGGAACAAGTCTATATAGAACCAAGGTGAACTCCAAACAGTCAATGAAATTAGAGTGACTGACTTGTCAGGAACTCAGAGACTGTCAGAGTTCACGAACCTAATAGGAACTTAAGTATGCACGTCGCTAAAAGTCGGTTTTAATGATATATATTTACCTTATACGTGCATATCTTTTAGGGATTTGGTTTTACTGAATAAAGATATTTATCTTCTAATAAATCCCTTTTGGAAAAAGATAATTTTGTTTAAAGAGTATTTTTAAACAAAAAGATAAGATTGGAATAAAATCTGATTTTATGTTGATTATATCTTATTATTCATAATAGATTTTATCCTTAACAAAAAGATATATTTTCGGAAAACTGATTTTTAGAAAATATCTTTTAAACTTATCTTTTCAGAAAATCTATCTTTTTTAAGATAAAATGAATAATTCGAGTGTATTATAAATATGCTCATATGTATTCATTCAAAGTTGAGGCTGACGAAGTGTAGTGGTCGTGCTTAATGGTTTTATCCTTCACCACGAAGCTAAGTCAGTTCTCCTGGTCAAAGTTCCTATCAGGTTTTGGTTACAGTACGTCTAGTGAGTTCCAGACAGGTCTCGAGTATCCAACATATTAGTTTTATCTCTTTATTCATAGATATGTATTTAGGGATATTCAATGAGATCTTGTAATGGGAAAAATGGTTTTGAGTGTTTTGTATTTTGGGGTGAGATTGTGAATTCTCTTAAATTCACGTTTGTGATGAGTTTGAAATCTCGTAAAATTCGAGTGGTAGTTAGTCACCCCGAGTGTGTCTTGGGTTGCACAGTGAGTGAAAGGAACCTGAGAGGTGTCTGGGTCACCAAGGAAGTGTCCTGGGTTAAGGGAGAAAAAGGGTCCTGAGAGGTGTCTTAGGTCTGGTAGGAGGTGTCCTATCATATAGTCAAGTGTCCGTGGTGGAACTTGCAAAGCAAAGGTCTGTGTAATAGGTTGTACTAGGAGAGTTGCCTATTATAGTGGAATTTGTTTATAAGTCCCAATAGAGCCGAGGTTTTACTTCCAGTTAGGCACTGGATGGTTTCCTCGTAAAACTTGTTGTGTGCTTTAAGTTCCTTTACGTTTTGTTTTTAATTTCCGCATAAGTTCAGCGATTGGAACCTACTACCATTCACCCCCCTCTTGTAGTAGTTCATCTAAAATAACAATGTCGTAGTCATGGGCCAATTTTAGCCCAACAAGATTGTTAGTATCTCAGACGTCCACTTGCTAAGTGCAGTTGATCTTTCACTGGTCAATGGTCAACCTTCTAGATGGAACTATAAAAGACACAATAGGAAGTACGTAGTAATTAAAAAATTGAAGAAGTGTAACCTTAAAAAATGCTTACAAGTATAATGCACTATATAATCAGACGGAGGAGATGCCTCAGTGCATGTGTGGAGTTGCCACTACTTGTAAGCCAGGCTGGTATAATTTGTTTTTTTCTATCAAATTAGATAACCTTATAATTAAGTGTATTATTTCTTGTTAATCTTATCTGCACTAAACTGAACGACAGATTGAAACTAATCGTCCTTGATTTTATATTATATTGATCGATATCTTAATTAAGCTTGATAAAGTCTTCAAACTTATTTATTTATGTAAGATAAAGAGAATGCACTAGTATCATAATGTAATATCTTAACATTAAAATTATGTACATACAAAGTAAGAATAATATAAATGGCTTTGTTTCAAAAAAAAAGAAAAAAAAAGAAAAAAAAAAGGTAAGAATATAAGCTAAATCATTTCCCATCTACAATAAAACGGTAGTCATTATAGTAACTTGATAATAGCACGTGAAATGTGATATTAAAATGAAATATAATAATAAGAAAGTATTTATAATGAACCTAAATACTAAAATGAATGAAATCACTAATAGTATAATGTGTAGCGTATGAAAGAGAGCATTAAAGCTAATATAGTAGTCTGTAAACCAGTAATCCTTAAAACTTTAAATCGCACTAATACTAAATTTGAAACTTTAAGACCACACTAACTAAATATCAAACACTAATTTAGCTAAAAAGATATTTAGTCAAACAAGATACAAGCAGCCCGGCCCCCACGCGGTTGCACTGAACTAGTAGCTAATTAAGATTAAATGAACCACTCACCACTGTATATATATCCCCAACAGTACTGCACTTGTTCTTCAACAATTACACTTGTTCTTGTTTGTTTATAATTATCTAAGCTATTTGTAATATAATGGGTAACATAGTAAAAGAGGTTACAAAGTGTGTTTTAAAGATAGGGCAAGATGATCCAAGGAGAGTGATTCATTCTATGAAAGTTGGATTAGCAGTGACCTTAGTATCTCTCTTTTACTATTTTCAGTCAATTTACCAAGACTTAGGCACCACTGCCTTATGGGCTGTCCTTACTGTTGTCGTCGTTTTCGAGTTCTCTGTTGGTAATAAACTCTCAACATTATGCCTTCTTTACTTGTTTTTATTTAGTAATGAAGATTAATTATTTGACTGATGAATTGCATGCAGGAGCCACATTGTACAAAGGTTTGAACAGGACAATGGCAACATTAATAGGAGGGGCACTAGCAGTTGGCCTACATAGCTTGGCTACTCAATCTGGTCATATTGCTGAACCCTTTCTCATCAGCTTCTTTGTTTTCCTTCAAGGTAAAATCTACTTATTTAGTTAACATACATAGAGATCAATTTCAATAATGTATATGAAGGTAACAATATAATGCAAGTTGATGTTAATAATGCAGCTTCTTTGTCGACGTATGCACGATTTTACCCAAAGATCAAAGCAAGATATGATTATGGTTTCCTCATATTCATATTGACCTTTTCATTCATCTCCATCTCTGGATTTCGTGTTGAGGAAATTATAGACCTGGCTCGCGATAGATGGGCTACAATTTTAATTGGAGTTTTTGGTTCTCTTCTTGTTTCTATACTTGTTTTCCCTGTTTGGGCCGGTGAAGATCTTCATAACTTAATTGCAAACAACTTCGACAAACTTGCCAATTCTTTAGATGGTACGTAATTAATGTCATCTCCTCTCTTTTTAGTGTTTTTTTTTTTTTTTTTTTTTTTTTTTGTCTGATCTAAGCTAGCTAATAATGTATGTGTGGCTACTTGATTAATATTAGTGACACATAATTTCAGAGTATGGAAATGCTTACTTCAAAATGAAAGAGAATTGTACTGCAAATGAAATTAATGTATCAAGACTTCGAAGTTACAAGAGTGTTTTCAACACAAAGGGCAATGAGGAAACCTCGGTACTTTATCAAACACAACTACATGCATACAACTGCTAGCTACACTTCTTCATATGTTAATTAATATCCTAATATAAGTTACTATTACGTAAATGTCAACAGGCTAATTTTGCAAAGTGGGAGCCAACTCATGGTTGCTTTAGGTTCAAGCATCCATGGAAACTATACCTACAGCTAGGAGCTCTTTCTCGAGAATGTGCCTACAAGATTGATGCCCTTGATGCGCGCCTTAATGCAAATGTTAAGGTATATATCTATTTTCTATTGTCATACATACTTTCTCGTTTACATCTCATGAAACATCAATAACAATATGATACATTACATTATTTGTGTACCTCATATATATGCTGCTGCTGCGGCCAGGCCAGGCCAGCTACAATACTAACAAATTCATGCTATGTTTGATTTTGTGATCTGATAGTCCTTAACTTGTAATTTCTGGCAGACATCACCCAATTCTCAACATGAATTCCGTGCAACTTGTAATCGAATGGCGTTAGAAGCAAGCAAAACACTAAAAGATCAAGCAATTGCATTGAAGACTATGACCCGGCCTTCTTGTTGCAAAGTTAATGTTGCAAAATCCAAAGAAGAAATGAAAAGCTTGCACGAATTGTTGAAATCAACTACATTATGGGAAGACTATGAGCTGCAACTGCTCCATGTCATTTCAGCTACAACAATCATATCCATACTAACAGATATTCTTATTTGTACCGAAAAAATAGCAAAGTGCACCACTCAACTTGCTTCCTTGGCACATTTCAGGACGACTAAGCTAGAAAAAACACAACTTGAGTCAAAAAGTGTTGATCAAGAATTGGGAAAACCGGTTTTCGTAGCAAGTGAGGGACAAGAACAGAATCCTAGTGATGCCAAAGTTGTGAATTGCTCCCACACGGCAATAACAATTGAAGCAGGAGACTAAAAAATATATCATCCTTCAAAAATCTGTTGCGAGTTTAGTGTGTAATTACTAATTAGTTGTGAATTGTAAAATGAATGACGACATCGATCTCTTTATTCATCAAGTTAGTTACAAATTAAATTATCTTGGGTTTAAGTTATTGCATGAAGACATAAGATTAGTATAATATAAACATAGTCTTCAACTCATCACCCTGAAATACTTGTGCATAGCATCAACCAAACATGCATACACACAATTTAGGCCCAATGCAGTTTCGATCCATGTATTAGTATAACATTATTGTTACTATATCATCCCATTATATAGTGAGCTAATCTTAGCTTACACTAGTTACTTGAGCCCATTACTCCTAATGACGCCCATAATATCACGGACTTACCTTTAATCATTACAATTTCACTTTAAATATCATACATGCACCTTGGTACAATTGTATACGCATCTTTTTTTGACTTCAAATTACAATTTTAATTTACCATAGGAGGGGCATGCATTTTCAATTTTTCATGACCAATCCTAAAAAATTGCCTAATATATATGATTTCATCAGGGCTTAAAATGGGTTCATCTTAACTATATATACATTCTATTATTTCAAAAACGTGGCATTGCAACTTCAAGATGAGCTGCCTTTATCAGGATCAGAATTGATATTATATACAATTGTATAAACAGAGATGATTTGATAAGACAAATGAACAAAAAAGTGTTACAAGTAACATCTCAATTTATATATGCTCAATTTTTATTACCTTAATATTTGTATTAAAAGCTTGTCAAATAATCATAACATGACATTGAGTTTAGTTTCTGTCTCAATATATGAGGAATAGTTCTTATAATAATAGGAAGTATATCGCATATTCTAGCAATATCAAAGAATTTTAATGTCATTATAATGTCTGCAGCCTTTTACGATCAACACACTAACCCTATTTTTTAGTTGCACTTTGGCTACTAATTAACGGCTGACAATCTATGATCCACCATAAGGCTGCACCTTTAATTTCTTTTTGACCCACCCTACTAGTACTCAATTTTGATTTATAATAATAAGAATAATAATAAGTATGTGATCCGAGCGATACTTTAAACATCATATTGTATATTTTGTACTCCTTAAGTTTCTTATTATATAAAGGAACTAATGGGGAAAAAAATACAAAATAAAACATTCCTAGCTATCAAAGTTACGAGTATAGATAAATTTAAATTGAGTTAATTAAATATTTATAGCATAAATAAAAGACAATTAACTCAATTTCGATTGGTCAAGAGTTCAAACACTATAAAAACTTCATTATGAATGATGTGACATGTTTCTAGCGCATGAGAAAAGTGTCACGTGACATATATAATTTATATATATAAAAAAAGATTTATAAAAAATTAAAAAGCTATTATCCTCAGCTAGGAATTCCTGTAGAGCACGCCCCGTGTAAATAAAGACATTGAGCGGCCACAAATTATCTCAGGTCACTACAGTAACAGTACACACCACTTAAGCACTTACCGATCACCTCCCTCTGTTCCTGTCTTACGCCATTTACACACGCTTTCTATTTACGGAGTACTTTCAAAGCGACACCACTTAGTGCTTTATTATTATGCATTATAATATAATTTTTGTACATTTGTACCCTCCTTTCATTACTTTATTTTATTTTATGTTATAGCTCATGTAAATATCATTTTGCATTCTATCGATCGTATGGCCCTATAAATACAGCCAATGACTTGTGCTGATGTTGTCCAACTTCCACCTCTCAATTACAACCTCCTTTCCAAAATATAATTTAACCAAAAAAAAAATTAAAGAATTTCAATTCTACCCAAATGGCCACCATGAATGTTGTTTCATCTCCAAATAATGAAACAAAAGGTGGTTGTACCCGGGCATGCCAATTTCTAACGTCCTTGCCTAAGAGCTTAAAGGACAATGTTGTCAACTTTGCCCTCGAGGCCAAAAAGTTAGGGCAAGATGATCCTAGAAAGATTTTTCATGCCTTAAAAGTCGGATTTGCTATTACAGTTGTTTCCTTGTTCTATTACTTCCAAGCTCTTTATAATGGTTTTGGTGTCTCAGCTATGTGGGCTGTTATAACGGTTGTAGTTGTATTTGAATTTACAGTAGGTAATAATTTATACTAATAATTATTTGTACGTAACAACTAATTAGTATCTTTAACAAACTTAATTATAATTACGTTGCATTGTTAATTTTGCATTTTTGTGTGGGCATGCAGGAGCAACCTTGGGAAAAGGTTTAAATAGGATGATCTCCACTTGTGTGGCAGGGTTTTTAGGGGTGGTAGCCCATTACTTGGCTGATCTTTCAGGGAGACAGGGGAACCTATTTTACTTTCTCTCTTTGGCTTCATAGTTGGTACGTATATAGTAAATATCCATACTATGAAATACACATTATATATACAACTAATAGAATTGAAGTTTGTCACTAAAGAATAAAAATGGTTTGGCTGCAGCTTCTATACTGACATTCATGAGATTCTTTCCAAAGTTGAAGGCAAAATATGACTATGGACTGATGATCTTCATCCTAACCTTCGCTTTGGTGGCGGTATCGGGATATCGAGATGATGAGGTGATTAAGATAGCCCAACAAAGGCTGGTCACGATCATCATAGGAAGTTGCATTGCCATGCTTATTTGCATACTTATTTCCCCTGTTTGGACCGGAGCTGAACTCCACAATCTCATTGCTTCCAACATGGAAAAACTTGGCAACTTCTTAGAAGGTACAACTTTTATTTTTCGATCTGCTTCTTATAATTACTTGAATTAACTAACTTTAGTGCATGTAACTATCATATAGCTAGATTAATTAGTAATACCACGATCTATAAGCTACAACTTACCATTTCATTAAAATTTTCATAAAGAAAACCTATTACACTTTCTTTCACCTTTTCGAGATTAAATTATGTAGTGGTTCTTTATTAGCTCATCAGATCACCCTCAAATGGTAAAAATCCACAGGATTCGGAAGTGAATATATGACAACAAAGGACGAAAAGTCAAAAGAAGAGAAGTCTTTTCGTCAACAATACAAAAGTGTACTAGGTACCAAAAGCACCGAAGAGACAATGGTAAGCTTATATTGTTTGTCTTTTTGAGCCTAAATATTTAACCAACTATTCTATGTACTAATTCAAATATCATATTCTAGGCAAACTTTGCATTTTGGGAGCCTAGCCATGGCAAGTTCAAATTCCGTCATCCATGGAAGCAATACCTTAAAGTTGGAGCCTTAATTCGAAAGTGCGCCTATAGTATTGATGCTCTCAATAACTACCTTAACCCCAACATCCTACAAGTATGTAACAATTTTAAGCACGAAATCTCTATATATCCTTAGCTTGTTAAACAAATAGATCGACGTGCTAACACAATATATGTTGATTTTTGTTAGATGCAGACACCAGAGGAAATCGAAGAGATGATGAAAGAAAGATGCAAAAAATTAAGCAGCGAATTAGGCAAAGTACTAAAGGAGGCAGCTAAAGGGTTTAAAAAGATGAGGAAGACATCAACACCAAAGACACAATTAGCCGAAACAAAAGAAGCAGCAAAAGAGCTAAAAAGGTTGTTACAAGACACAAGTTTATGGGAAAAATGCAATCTCTTAGATGTATTACCAGCAGTAACGGTAGCATCGATACTAATCGATATCGTTGATTGTGTAGAGAGCATAATAGAGGCGGTACATGAGTTAGCTTCCATGGCGAGCATGGGCAGTGAAATAGTCTGCCCTGAAAAAGAGCGCGAGCTATCCCAGATAGTTGTTGTTGGGGATGTCACTGATATTCACAATCATAAAGTTATTCCTGTTCACAAACTTACAACTTCACCAGCTCAATCCCAAACCAAGACTTCTCACTAAAAATAAAAATAAACTTGTATGCATATTATATTCTTCCTCCGTACTATCTAGATGTACGTAAGTATTGTAGCTGTGTAAATTGTCAGTTATCCGGTTCGTTTATTTTTCCTATTTTGCCAAAGTGTATCCACTATCCAGTTATATACTTACATATTACGGAATACTCCGTAATATATAGGCTACAAATAATTCAGAATAGACCATAATTTGTATAATTACACACATGAACAATAAAAACTCATATAGTAACGCATGTATGAATGTACGCTTACATATTTGAACACTTTGAATTTAAAGTACATTATTATGTTTCTATTATAATCATAATTATTGTGGGATTGGAACACCGATTATTCATAATCAAAACCTTTGATCTTATTCTTTCAACTATTTATTCAGGGAACATTCATTTAACATAAACATAGTAATGGACAAGATGTAGGGTAATTTAATATAAGATGAGCTTAATTTATGGTGCATGGAATTTTGTGGGTTTTAGTCCTTTGGGCTTCAAGGAGCATGCATGAATGCATTTATGCATGGTAGGCGAAACTTATAAAACCTCTACAACGAAGGTTGTCTGGAACTTTCCCATGTGATAGTGAGATTTTTGCCGAAATTATACTGTAAAGCATACAAGTTTTAATGTTTAATTTCACGATAACTTTCTCTTAATATTAGGCATTTGTTTTCATCACTAATTTTAGATTTAATACGTTCTTATAAAATACGGAGTAAGATAAGAGATAAAAAATTTAGATAAGTAATGTAAGGGTTAATAAACTTAGACAAGATAAAAATAAGATTAATAAGTTATGATAAGATAAATTAGATTAAATAATATTGGTAATTACCTTTCAATAAGGTCAATAACAGTACAAGTTAGATATTTGGATTTAATTAAAAAATATATATAATCTATAACTATTCTCCAAGGTTCTTCAAATTCTGTAAGCCCCTTTTCCTTTTTCTCAGTCCCTTTTCTCTCTAGGGTCCTTAAAAATTAGTGTTTTTTAAGCTGAAAAATAATAGTAACACTTATATAAAGTGTAATACGTAGTAGATCTATTAAAATCCAGATAAAATAAGACGTACGTGATATAGTTAAAATTGGTGAAAGCGAAAACACTTACTTCGTATTACCTACTTGAAGTAAAACAATTAATGTATGGTTAGGATAATT